TAATTTTTCATCCTCAGAAAGCAGGGGATGAATATACAAAGTTGTCACAGATTTCCAAGTGTCAAGGACTGGAGTGTGAAGTAAAAAAGGAATTCAAAGAAAGCCACACGGTAAAGAACAAGCCTGCCAGGGGTAGGAAACAAAAGATTTTAAAGACCCTGGATTTGGATTTCAGTACAGCAAACAAACATGATATTACTAAATATCATCAACAGGCTAAATGAACTTCTGTATCCTTAGATGAGTGAAATAAATTAGCAAACAAACCAACAAACTAAATGATTTTACTATTGCCAAATCAAAGCAATCTGTTGGTAATAATGGTGCCACTCTGCGTGGTTTGAATTATATATATCTAGACTCTAATTTGTCCATGTAAATGGTCTTCCTAACTCACTAAGGTTAATTATGGAGCTCCACAAGCTTCCATGCTAGGACCACTTCTATTTAGATTACACACTGTTTTTCAGGCTTCCCTTAGAGTTACGTATTATCTGCATAGCAATGAAAATGACACATATTAAAACATTCCTGCAGTTTAACAGCAGAAATGTCTTAAAAGGTTAAAGGCCCGATGACTTCAGTGACACTGTGAGGGCTCCTGAAATCATTGTTGACTAGGACATGTTCTTCAGTGTTCACATTAATGCACAAATAGGAGACACACCAATTAGTTAAACTGCAGAAATGTCTTTAAGACGTAAAGGCCTGACCTCCCATTTTCTCCTTCTAAATTCAGATAAAACTCAGGTTATTCTACTTGGCCCTTAAATTCTCAGAAATATGGTATCGAACCAGATGCTTACTCTGGGTGGCATTACCTTGGCCTCCAGTAACACAGTGAGAAATCTTGGAGCCATTTTTGACCAGGCTATGTCCTTCAGTGCACATATTAAACAAATATATGGGACTGCTTTCTTGCATTGGCACAATAGCTCTAAAATTAGAAACATTCTGTCTCAGAATGATGGAGAAAAACTAGTTCATGCACTTATTACTTCTAGGCTTGACTACTCCAACTCATTATCATCAGGTTATCCTAACAACCCCTTGAAAGGTCCTTCAGCTGATCCAAATTGCTTAAAGGCCTCCTTTACCACCTTGTAAACACATCACTACTTTCCATCCACTGTTTCCTCTAATAATAATAATAATGCATTTTATTTGAGGGCTCCTTTCAGAAACCCAAGGTCACCTTACAAAAAACAAAATTAATAAAAGGAACAGTAGTCATAAAATACATAAAATAAGTTAAAATTACAAAACAGAGCTTGACAACAGATAAATTCAGCATTAAAGCAAATAAGCCAGTTTAAACAGATGTGTTTTGAGCTGTGTCTTAAATACGGAGAGGGAGTCAATATTTCTTAGTGCAGGAGGAAGAGAGTTCCAGAGCCGAGGAGCAGAGCGACTGAAAGCTCTGTTCCCCATAGTGATAAGGTGTGAGGACAGAATAGTAAGATGAATAGCAGATGATGATCTGAGAGGGCGGGAAACAGTGGTGATATGGAGCAGCTCACACAAATATGAAGGAGCAGATTTATGAATACACTTGTATGTAAGAAGTAAGATTTTAAAATTTATCCTGGCTTCTACGGGAAACCAGTGAAGCTGCTGAAGAACTGGGGTAATATGAGCACTTAACGGAGTGCAAGTTATGACCCGAGCTGCAGAATTTTGAAGAAGTTGGAGTTTATGAAGGGACCTTTCAGGGAGACCAAATAGGAGGGAATTACAGTAATCAATACGGGACGTAATAAGACTATGGACAAGGATGGCAGCAGCATGGGGAGTAAGGAAGGGACGGAGTCGGTTAATATTATGTAAATGGAAGTAAGCAGACCGTGTTATGTAATTAATGTGAGACTGGAATGAAAGAGTATTATCAACTATGACACCCAAACTCTTAACCTGAGGGGAGGGAAGGGTGGGAGAACTTTCAATGTTAATGGAAAAGCTGTGGGATTTGGTTAAGATAGATGGTGTACCAACAAGTAAAACTTCAGTTTTATTACTGTTAAGTTTGAGAAAATTGGAGGAGAACCAGGATCTAATCTCAATAAGACAGTTTGAGAGGGAGGTAGGTGGGAGGGATGAATTGGGTTTAGAAAGGTAGAGCTGGGTGTCATCGGCATAACAGTGAAAATTTATATTGTATTTTCGGAATATATATATACCAAGAGGGAGCATATAAATAATAAATAAAAGAGGCCCTAATACTGAACCCTGGGGCACACCAGCAGAAACAGGATAGAGTTGAAGAATGGGATTTAAATTGGATAAACTGAGTGCGGTCTGAGAGATAGGAGGTAAACCAGGTAAGCGGGGTGTGACTAATACCAATGGAATCTCACCGGTTCAGGAGAATATTGTGAGAAATGGTATCAAACGCCGCACTAAGATCAAGAAGGATGAGGATGGATAGGAGACCAGAATCAGCTGCCATCAGAAGGTCATTGGTAATCCTTGACAGAGCAGTTTCTGTGCTATGATTGGGGCGGAAACCAGATTGAAATGGTTCATAGAGATTATGGTCATTGAGATGTGAATGAAGCTGGGCGGCGACAACTTTTTCAAGAATTTTTGAAATAAAGGGGAGATTTGATATAGGGCGAAGATTATCAAAGTTATTGGGGTCTGCACCAGGCTTTTTGAGAGTTGGGATAACAGAAGCCTTTTTCAGTACTTCAGGAACAATCCCAGTGTTCAGGGAGGAATGAATAATATTGGTTATGAGAGGTGCTAAAGAGGGAAGACAGGCTTTAACTAACACAGTAGGGAGAGGGTCAAGTTGACAGGTGGATGACTTAGATTTTTTAATGAGATTAGACACATCAGTTATGGAGGGAACAGTAAAGCTTGAAAATAACTGACAGGAAGACAGTGGGGGAACCGGGAAGTCTACTTCAGAGTCAGGAGCTCCTAAAGAGTTAAGTTGACAGTGAATATCTGAGATTTTACAAGTGAAAAAAGAGATAAGAGAGTTGCAAAAATCAACAGAATACATGTGGGAGGGGAATGTGTCTGGAGGTTTTGTAATTTTACTGAACAATTTACTGAATAGAGGGACCTGGAGTTACCTTCATTAGAACTAATTAAACCAGAGTAGTAAGCAGATTTGGCTGAGGCAATGCAGTCCTTATAGAACAGAACATGATCATTGTGCATTTCTTTATGTACAGTAAGTCCGGTTTTCTTGAATAGACGTTCGAGTTGGCGTTCTTTAGCTTTAAGGTGACGCAATGAGACAGTTCGATGTTTAAGGGGAGCAAATATGTTAAGAAGGTTATGAAGGTTGACATTATAATGGCAAACGAGTTCATGAGGGGTTGAGGAGCAGTGGATAGATGGAAGGTCATGGACGGCAGATGAAAAAACAGCTGGGTTAATGTTACTAATCTTCCTAAAAGTGATATTACGAGAGATACAGGTTTTGGAAGCGCTTATGTTTGCATCAAAAGAAATAAACATATGATCAGACTGGGGAAACAATGTGGCTTTACAATGGGTGGGGGTAATGCCAGAACAACAGACCAAATCCAGGATATGACCATTAGAATGGGTAGGAAATTTTATGTACTGTAGAAGCCCAAAACTTTCCAGGCAGGAGGTAAAATCTCTGGAAAGAAAGAGGGATTTTATCATTGTCCATATGAATATTGAAGTCACCAGCAATGATCAGATTTGGAGAAAGTACAGTGAAATGAGTGAGAAGAGCAGAAAATTCATTTAAAAACTCCTTGTTTGGCTTAGGTGGCCGATAAACAGTACATATGATGGTGGGGGTAGATCCAGGGAGCTGCAGTGCAATGTATTCAAATGGATGGGAGGGAGGGGCAGAGACAGGGAGCACTTTCCAGTGCCTCCGGTGAATTATCGCGAGACCTCCGCCCCTCCCCGAGATGCGAGGTTGACAAGTGTAAACAAACTCAGATGGAGTGGAGTCATTGAGAGAAACAAAGTCATTGGGCTGTTGCCATGTTTCAGTCAAGCAAAGAAAGTCCAACTTACAATCACAGAGGAGATCATGGACGAGATGTCCCTTACCAGTGAGAGAGCGGAGGTTTAATAGACCAAACTTGATGCTGGAGTTACCATGCTGGACAGGAGGCTTAGTCGATCTAGCCAGGTGGGCCAGCACATTGTGGTCGACAGCCCGGTCAGTCTTGCGGGGAGGACAACGAGTTTTTCACCAGATGGACAATATTGAGTTAGTGTCACTGATATTGAACTTCCGCCGAAGCCCTCGGTGGATATACCTGTGGTGGGGCTGGAAGGCGATGTCCGGGTAGAAGTATAGAGCCACAGGTGGAGAGACAGCCAGGCAAAAATGGAGCCGCAAAAGATCCGTAGCAGAGTACTGGAGAAGAGCTGTCGCCGGGTGATGAATGATGGATAAAAAAACCCAGGTGAGCACGAGCCACACCAACACCCTGTGGAGCCGCATCTTAATCAGGGCCGAGCACTGAACACAAACGGAAGGACCGAACAACCAGCTGACAGCTGCAGCGCAAGCAATAGGAGCCCGCAAATGTTGCGAAAACAAGTCAAAACAGGGTTGCGCCTTAGATACTTGGTTCACATTGTCGTCAGCAACTGAAAAAAAATTATAATAAAAATAGTAATAGTAATAATAATAACCGGTGAGCAGCGGCAGCCAAGCGCGGCAGCGTTCACTCGACCGGAAGCCACATCTATGTTTTGCCTGTCATATGGAGCAGGTGGTAGAGTCGTGCTTGTTTGAGATATTTGTTTTCATTTGGGTCACAAGTCACCAGCTGCTAATATCATCTTGACTGTAGTTTAACACTAAAGTTTTACCTTTTTGACACGACTGACTGCGTATGTCCACAATTCCCCCCAAAAATCCAATATAACGTGAGTGACGTGGAATCGTTTGTTTTACTTTATATTGTGAGCTGTTTGGTGAAAGACATTCACATTTTCTTAGAGACAAAGTGTTCCCTATATTAACAAAAAAAACATTTTTTATTACTCACGTTCACTGAAGTGGGAGCTAGAATCAATTTTCCAGACTATTTGTCCTTTGTGAGATCCATTGATGCCTCGGTTCTTGTAGTCCAGAAAGTTCTCCGATAACGTCTCATCTGGAAAGAGAGATGAATGAGAGCTCAAACCATACTGCACGTCCAAGCTTCTGAATTTCTTTCTGTAATGTATTGGCAACAAAATAAAATGATAGCTGAAACTACTGGTATTCACTTATACAACTGGACAAGTGGAAATCCTTTGCTTTGAGATAAAGTAAACTCTGGTTTTACATATCAGGACATGATTATTTGGCCCTTAGCACATCTGAAAATTAAATAAGCGCTTTATGTATGAATGTACCAGTCTGTTGTATCGTTGTGGAGAAATGTTGGCCCACTATTGATTTTAAACAATGCTTAAGTAGTTTTAGGTTTCTGATCCTTCGCTTACGTACGGCTCTCCCGTGGTCTTGCTGCGTCATTTTAACAACACCACCATGTCCACCACGAACTCTTCTGTGTACCAGAAGGTTTCCCAAAGTGTTACTTTATTTAAGTTACAGCCCACTAAAGGTGGTTATACAAGATACTGAATCATAGGGTGTAAATAATTTTTCACTCACTGCTTCTGCATTTGGCTTAGTGTTTATTAAATAAATAATTTATGATATAATAATACAACAATTATTTCTTCTAACATAACAGCTCATGTGCTGTTGCTCATCTCGGGTTGTATTTACCTCATTTTAAGACCTGCCTGATATGTAAAACCTTGGAATTAACTGGGTGTACTTTGTTTTTAATGTGACTGTATGTTTGCAGATATTGCCTATCTAGAACAGACTACCTGATGCATGACATGCCTGCTTGAATGAAAATCTATATCACAGACTTCAGAGCTATCAGCTTTTTCAGAGAAGAGCACTGAAGTTACATTGTTGCTTTGTGTCTTAAAGCTTCATTAGCAAGCCTACATGTTACCATTAGTCAAACAATAACATAAATACATACAGAAAAGTAAGTAAGGTAAATGACTACAAGTGGTTTGTGCATGCTGTAATATCCAGTTTCTAACTAACCACTTGTGCTCTCTATTTACACACATCTTTGATTTATTTTCCACCTCTGGGACTTATGCTGCCATTTTTAAACAAAGACAAATGGCACTAAAATCATGACGTGATAACCATCACAGCAGAGGACAGCAAACCAGAGTAGCATACTGTACAAAAACAAATAAGATTTTTTTAACACTACTTTCAGAGTCAATATATTTAAAACTCTAAAATCTCAAAGCACGTGACATCTTACCAACTAAATACATCCCAATCCAGTCTCCAGCATCCACTTCTTCCTTGATGTCCCATGTGATCACCAGGTCTTCGGACTGGCCTATGATGTAGTGGGAAGAGCTGATGGTAAGAGTGGAACGTGCATCTGGAGAGACCAGATCAGTGTCGCTGGTGGAGCGTGACAGTCCCAACATAAAAGCATCCTGGTTCAGGCCATTGACAGCAAAGGACTCAGGGCCATAGCTGTGCCGAACCGCATCCTTACAGCGCTGGCGGGTCTGGCTGCTGCGAGTTGGGGATGCCATGGCCGCCAAGCCCAGGAACCGATTTTGGTACAAGTTCTGCAACGACATACACAGAAAGAAGCTTTTAGCAGAATCAAAGCTACAAAAACACGAAGTACCTACAGTGGTTGAAAATTTGTGGCCTCTTTAAAATGTAAAAGTGCATTTTCATATACAATATAACTTTATTTGACCGGCTTTTGTAAAAACAAAATAAAAAATAGAAATCTGTCAAAAACTTGTTTAAAACAATAAAGTGACTGAATTCACGTTTTTATACACATTTTGATCACTATGGTGGTCAGTGCTCTCTCTTATGCTGCAGCTTGGTGGACACCAAAACAAAAAATATCCTCAATATCAACTCGATCACACAGTTGCACAACAATGCAATGATGATGCGCTGATAACAGAAAACGGTCATGTATTTTAATGTTGTCTGATGACTGACGTCAAACACAGATCTTCTTCCAGCTAGAAGCAGAGCAGCTTGTGTTTGCTAACACAGCAATATTCTGTTAATCGTTTAGCAGATTGTTTTTTAACTGTGACCAACAGCTGAAATGCAAGCTACTAAATCAGTGTTAAATCAGCCTGCCAGTCATCCTGTGCCACTGTAGGGACGCACCACTGCCTCTGCTCTTCTAATTTGACACTTCCAATCGAAAAAACAATCGTGGAATTTACCTTCACCTTATTATTATGTGTGTATAGTCTGTGCTTTATCTCTTAGTTATAGTAAGTCTGTGTGCCCTAAGTTAATATGCTGATGTGTCAGCTTGTGGGTCCCATTTGAACACTGACAGTGAGCCAGTTAGATGATGACACAGTTTTTGTAATTCTGTCTCTGTACTGAAGCTCTTAACAGTTTTTAACAAAAGCATGGCATTCAATTCAATTCAATTCAATTTTATTTATATAGCGCAACAACAGTCACAATCACAACAACAGTCGCCTCAAGGCGCTTTATATTGTACAGCAGATCCTACAGTAATGGTAGGATCACAGTAGAAATTACAGCCATTCTGAGATATATAACCACATTTTCAGAGTCTCAACAGGAATTGGTCAACTGATGTACAAGCTGTTTCATGGTCAGGTCTATTAGGTCTCTGCCTATTATTCCTTGGCAGCCACACAAATAAAATATATGTAGGGCACTCTGAATGTTCAACTTGGATGTGTCAGGTTTTCACCGAGGCCATCAATATGCTGAAAAAATAAAAATAAACCTATCAGAGAGAAAGCAAAAACTGGCCAGTGCTTTCTTTCTGTTGCATCACTTACATCCAGCAACACCAAAAGGCCTGGAAGACTCAGAACAAAACTTATGTGGGCGATACCAGAATTCTTTTCTTGATTAAGAAAAATAACTTGATGTCCAAAGTGTACAATCAAGAGACAGAGAGGGTTACAAGAATGGCAAACCACTAGTTACCCTCGGCAACTGGAAGAGCCTGCAAAGTTCTACAAAAAATTAACTTGCGCCAGAATGATGGGAAGAAAACAGCATGGAGGAGGAAAGGCACAACTCGTGATCTTCAGCATACCATGACATCTATCAAACATGGTGGAGACATGGGCACACTCATCATTCTTTGTATTTACTTGGTTTATTTTTGTCTCATATTAGAATTTTTGGATGATCTGAAACATTTCAGTTTGACAGACTGTAGAGAGGTGGTGCTGAAGGTTCTATGATGTCTTTTATATTTGTGAAAGCCAAGGCCTATTAACTTTTTGTTAGTATGATTAACTACAACTTTGCCAGCATAAAAAGGATTTGTTTGACAGCACTCACTGTCAATACAACGGAAAAGTCCAAGGAGCTCAGTGAAGAGCTATGAACGAGGATTGCAGATTTACACAAGTTGTGAATGTCTCTTAGAGCCATTTCTAAGCAACTCCAGATTCCAAGATCATCAGTCCAAACAACTGTATGAGAGTACAAGTTATTTGGATGTGTCACCGCTTTGCCAAAGTCTGCAAGAAGACCCTCAGATTAGTTAGGGTGTTCAGGAACAACTCAGGTCAACTGACATGAACTTAAAGCTGCTGCAACACTAGTCTCACTGTTGACAGTGAAGCCAGTTTTACATTATTATGGACAGAGGGTGCTGACCAAAATAACATGAAAACGTCTATCGTTTCATTTTACGCTATTGTTTGTGTCGTGGTGTCGCAAAATAAACTGTTTACGGCAATATTTTTTCATCGTTTTGATGGACACTGTAGTTGCCATATTAATTTTTTAAAGTTCTCTCTTTATCTTATATTTAAAACAGACAGGCGACTGTTTTCACGCGTTGCCGTTAGGAACAACGGCGGTAAACCCAGCCGCCGTCCTCTTCTTTATTTTCCACATAAACCTTTCACAATAAAGCTTAAGATCCTGTTGAGATTTTTCAAAATAAACTGAAATGATGACAAACAGAAGGACCGGTCAAAACAATACGAGGACCTTATTTCTAAACGAGGGGCTAGCATGGACATGGTTCTGAAAAGTCTGACACGGACCAGAAAACTGTACTATGCAAATTATGAAGGAAACCGGTCCCCACCCCAGACTCAAACACGACAAACCTCTTCTACCACCTACGCAAGGATCAGGTGAAAGAGTAATCAAAGAGAGTTTAGGGAGGAGAAGCAAAAAAAGAGCTGTCAGGTGCTCAAAATCAACCTTAGACTCAAACTGTCATGGTCTCCGTGCCTGCCCGGTCGGCCCCACAAGGCTACAATTGCTGTTGCTGTTTTCTCCCTCTCTGCCTGGGCGGAGCTCACTGTGGGCTCCCGCCCTTGGCCCACACACACACCTGACAACACTCACCCATCATCACCGGGAGCACTATTTGAGGCTGGAACACAGATCCTCTCGTCGCTGGATGATTGTACCCCTAACGTTAGTGTTCTCACAGCTCTTGTGCTTCATATCCGTGACTTGTGATTAGTTGGTGACCTGCCTTCTCGTCTGCTTCAGATCCCCCCCCCCCCGGACCTGCGACCTCCCTGCTGCGGGAAAGTGTGTGAGTGTGAGAGAAGAAGACGTGAGCGAGTTACCCTGTGATTTCCCCCCTGGAGTTTTGGATCCCTTCACTGTACATATATTGCACTGCACTGTAAATAAACCACACCTTGGAGATACCTTACCGCTCTGCGCTTGAATCCCTGTACCAGATCGTGACACAAACATTAGAACAGGCCTTTCCCCACAGCACGCCGTGTAATAAATACGCACAAAGAAAATGGCCATTACAAACTTGTATCTAAAAATATGTGGTTTCATGCACTGGTGAAAACACTCAACTCGCAGTACAGGTAAAAGCCAGAAAAATAATTCATATGGACTCTACCAATTTGAAAAACTGCCTGTACCGGACTCCAAGTGAGACCACAGGATGCTTTGACACTGCTGACATCAGCGGATACAGCCCAAGGTTCAAAAGATGACAACATTGTTGAGAAATTGGGGAATTGATTATTTAAAGTTCAGGAAAGAAGCAGAGCAGCATGCACTGACTAAAGTAACTGACCTTGATTACAACTCACTGCCCACTCTATCGACACAGTACTGTACTTCATGTGAACAAAGGTGTACCGTTTAAAGAATAAGCAGACCAAAATTAGGTGCCAGTTTTGTTTTTGTTCTCCTTTCTTTACATTCGAATGTTTCTACCCAATAACTGAAAACTGTTTGTTTGTATACAAAAAACTGATGCCGTGTAGAGGTAGTTTTTTTTCTTGTACTATGACTACTTTATTTCTTTGGAACTGACCAAAGTTTTCAGTTTGTGAGTGTTGTTCTGTAGCACTTTAAGCTGTAAGTCGAGTCAATTAAGGTTTTAGTTTATCATATATAGCTATGGTATTTATTTAAAATACAGTTGTGGAGTTTTTACAGTTTACAAATAAGATTTTTTTTTATCGTCCAACCAGTGTGTGTGTGTGTGTGTGTGTGTGTGTGTGTGTGTGTGTGTGTGTGTGTGTGTGTGTGTGTAAAATTTGCAGCAGCTTTCGTAAATGCACAACAGAAGCTGGGTGGAGGTACACATACAAAGAAGCTGGAGAGTGATTGCAGGAAGGAGGGGGCACTGACCTTGAAACTACAGAGCTGCATCAGCATAATGACCAGTCAACCCAAAGCAGACCAAAACCTGAGGGAAGTGGGAGGAGAACGGTGGGGTGTTACAAACCACAGAAACAAAAAGCAGAAGCAGTGAATGCAGAGGAGAAAGTGAAGTAGGGTGTTAGGGGGGGAAACATCATCATCATCTTTTCATACTTCATCTTTATCAGATAAAAATATGAATACTTCAAGAAAAGAAGCACAGATGGAGAAACAAGTGGAAACAGAGACATGGAGAACACACAAATATAGCACAGATAGAACAGACAAATAGACTCAACACAGTTACAACACATACAACAAAAATCACTTTTCATGTGCATCTGCAGATGTTCACATGGTCAGTGTTCCTGCAGGGGAGAAGCAACCCTACAAAAATTAACAAGAAGTCTCTGAATGTTGTTTTCTGTGAATTCATCACAACCTGAAAATATGAAACTTCAATAAAAAATAAATATCAGTAAAAGAATAGATAGGATGAAGACTAACTATTATGGGATGACTGGTCTGTAGCTGTGTCACTCTACGTAACCAAGGGTTAACGGACTAGCAAAAAAGTGCCACGGATCCTCGCTCTCCACACAGCCCCAGGCCTACTATCACTGTGTTATATAAGCAAACAGCCACCCTGGCTCATAAAATGTCCCGAGGCACTGAGGGAAACACACCATTAGTGTTACAATATACACAATAACTTGCAGTTTCAAGCAAAACGTAGCATTACTTCCACATGTGGGGCAACAGCGGAAAAAGTGTTGATTTGTAGAAGCAAAACACTAATATATGCTCATTCAGCCTTGAAGAGAGCATTTTCTGAGTTTTCTGAGATTCTGAGAAGTTCTGGACTATTTTGTTGTTTTTTCTACCTCTGCTATGGAAGTTACGATTTTGGTTTGGATTTTCCATAAATGTCTGTCTGTAAAGGTGAAAGCTC